TCCCGTGCACACAGACCGAAAATCTCACAGTCTGTTTGTTGTAGGGCATTTCATATAATGATAGTGTGTGAGTTGCGGGCGATACCGGAAGACCAGGATATGGGTACCCTTTTCGCGAACACCTGCAGGTGTCATCGCTGATTTTCAGTGATCCATTCATATCATTTTTCACCGCTATTTTGCCTATACGCCAAACGGAATCTGTTTCGACAGATAACCGATACAAATTATTCCCCGGCCTTGACGTTTTACATTTTCGAGAACAGTTGCACAAGATACAATTTAATGCCGAGGAAAGAATATGCAAACGGAATGTTTTAGATGTCATAACAAATAGCTGTAACACGATTATACTGTGGGGAGGTGTTGCATTCACTTTTGGCTGATGAGTTACTGAAATAGCGAATATGGCGTAAAATGGCAATAAGACAAAGAAGGTATTTTCTGTCAGTGAGTGAGTGAGTGAGTGAGTGAGTTTGGTTTAACGCCGCTTTTAACAATATTCCAGTTATATCGCGGCGTGTCAGCTTAATGTGGGAGGAAAGCCCGAAGTGATGCAGGTCTCAGACGTTTACCACTTCGGTGAAACCCACGAGCACGGGTATGGTGCTGACAAACCTAGAAACATAATTGGGGCGAACCGGGATTCGAACCCACAATCATAGGTTTCTGGCGTGCCCAAGGGACGCAATTCTGCACAGCGAATCGCGGCGCCTTAGACGACTGGGCCACCCGTGCCCCCGTATTTTCTGTCAGTGTCGTTATCTCAGCTGAAGAAAGTTGTAGGATCAAGGCAGGTATATATGGCCGCTAGCGTCAGCTAGATATGAATTGGAGCATACTCTCTGAACTGAATCTTTATTTGAAAAAAGCAAATTGACATTTACTGAAACCGCAAAAAAAACCCAAAAAACATTAAACGTGTTTCTGAAAAGTAGACACACATGGAATAATACAAAAGAAAAAAGCAACGAAAGGCAATTATTGAATCAATATTAGAGTACATTTAATAGTCTCCAGAAGAAGACCGGAGGCCTCTGAGCCAAGTTAAATTAAGGTTATCTGATGAGCCTCAAAGTTTTTTTCTGATCTTGGCTAAAATGCCGGTCAAAAGCGATTTCCACCCTTGTTTGATGGTAGCTAAAAATGTAACAAACCAGAAAGTGTTATGTGTTTGATAGGCGTATCATAGTTGCGTTTTTGTCTATAGGTTGTAGTGTTTCGGCGACTGTTTTCAGCCAAGTAACGTTTTGATACCATTAGTAATGTTTTGGTTCAATCCATTTTTTAAGTGTCTACATGTACTTTCTTTGTTTATAGCATGTCTCACGATTCATTCTATTACCAATGAAGGGGGCACGGGTGGCCCAGTCGTCTAAGGCGCCGCGATTCGCTGTGCAGAGTTGCGCCCCTTGGGCACACCAGAAGCCTATGAGTGTGGGTTCAAATCCCGGTTCGCCCTAATTATGTTTATAGGTTTGTCAGTTCCATACCCGTGCTCGTAGGTTTCATCGAAGTGGTAAACGTCAGAGACCTGCGTCACTTCGGGCTTTCCTCCCACATTAAGCTGACACGCCGTGATATAACTGGAATACTGTTAAAAGCGGCGTTAAACCCAACTCACTCACTATTACCAATGAAGATTATACATACATTTAGCCAACAACAGTCAAGTAGAGGTCCCGTGGAGATAGTTTAGACATGTTCTCGAAATTAAACTTGGGAATGTATAAATACAATCTTACTTATGTATTATTACAAGGGGCTAGACGTCGCCAACTAGACATCACAAAGAGTGATGAAGCAAGTCACATGTAGTCTAGACCTTTGCAAACTTTGAAACGTACCCCCTACATAGTTAGCATAACAAGAATATTTGTATTTTTTTATGAAAAGACAAAATATCCAGCTTTATGAAGTTAGTTGATATTAATAATGACATGACGTCCAATCTAGAGTAGTTCATCACCATACCAGAGTTCACGTGTGCTCTGATGACGTTACGTATGGTTGTGTGTGACCTTGGTGGCCATTTATTAGGTGACATTGTAGTAGTGTGTCACTGAACCCCTTGTACCTTGTCAAGCTTTTACTTAGGATTACACCACGCCTAATTTCCACAACACTGGTCGGCATAATACCGCACTCTGTAGCATATATCAGGAGATGATTGATAAGTAGGATTCAAGAAGATGTCTTGATAAATGACGAGAGGTTGAAGCGCCATAGCTGAGATAGTTGGACGAGTTCAGTAGTTGGCGCCTCGGTTGGGTGGGAACAGTCCAGGGTATTATTGATAGCGTGAACTATGTCAAGTGCGGCCAGACACTGTCCGTGAAGGTCGTGGACCCGGTGACCCTATATACAGCTGAACGAAAGCGGACAATGCTCCGCCACCTGCTGTCCATATCCTTTCTAGTTATAGACCTGTAAATTGGGAGTGAGTGAGTGAATATGGTTTTACGCCGCTTTTAGCAATATTCCGGCAATATCACGGCGGGGGACACCAGAAATGGGCTTCACACATTGTACCCATGTCGGGAATCGAACCCAGGTCTTCGGCGTGACGAGCGAACGCTTGAACCACTAGGCTACCCGACCGCCCTGTAAATTGGGAGGTGAACCATTGGATATATGTAGTTATAGTGGAATGGTTGAATTATTTCAGACTGAATAAAATGGTTTTGAGTAACATGAGTCAGTGAGTATGGTTTACGCCGCTTTAAGCAATATTTCAGCAATATCACGGCGGGGACACCAGAAATGTCTTCACACATTGTACCCATGTAGGGAATCGAACCATGGCCTTCGCCGTGATGAGCGAACGCTTTAACCTCTAGGCTACCCGACCGCCCTTGATTTACTTGGAAAAGTTGTTGTGACTACTTATACACCGAGCCAGTCTTCCCTTGAAGGCATATAGGAGTAGGTAGAACATTAAATCAAATTATATTATATTTAGAATTTGTAAAGTTACTTTTCCAATTAAGAATTACTCAATAATTACTTACCTATTCAAAGGTTTTCTTGAAGAGGTCTTGAGTGCCTTATTAAAGTGTGTCAGATGTTTTGCTTCTCGGATGAAAACTTGATCAGTGGAAACAACGATATTATTTTCTATTTTTCAAGGCTTTTATACACCCAACGGAAGAGCATTTGATCACAGTAAACACAGAAGTTGCTTCCTGTCTTCATCTGATGCAATGCTGAGTTGTTTTAAGTTATAGCACAAAGTTATGCAAATGTTGCTTGTGCGTACAACAGTACAACAGTACAACACAATATCAGTCCAGTAGCATGTTGATATTGGTCAAGAATAGTTCACTCAAATTAAAGATATCAGTGTTAGAGAATAATCCGAAGAAACAGAATAATGATTCAACTGGTCGTAAAAGGTGAAATAGCAGTGGCAATGTGAATAGGTCACTGAAAATCAGTGATGACACCCGGTGACCGTTTCTTTCTCTACTTTTCTGGCCGCTACCAGAGGGTATGCAAGATTTCTCATGAGCACTGCTTCTTTGGGGTGAGTGAGTGAGTATGGTTTTACGCCGCTTTTACCAATATTCCAGCAATATCACGGCAGGGGACACCAGGGCTTCACACATTGTACCCATGTCGGGAATCGAACCCGGGTCTTTGGCGTGACGAGCGAACGCTTTAACAACAAGGCTACCCGACCGCCCCTGCTTCTTTGGGGTGCATCATAATCCTTAAAAAGTATATTTTATGAAATTCCCGAAGCTTGATGTTTCTTATCAAATATTGTAACCAGTATATATGGCATATATTTTACATTTTAAAAGATATAATGATTAACCTTTCAATCTGAAACTATAATGTTGAAATATAAAGGAAGTTCATTCTTTTCTAAGTGAGGTAAATGCAGGGGTTTTATCCCAAAAAATATATTGCCTCTGAAAATTCTTGAAAACAAAATCATTATGCTTTAGACTGTTGAACAAAAGACATTGCCTGCCACAAACATAACGTTGTTGCGAGGTGTTTTACTTCTTTAAAAGACGTCAGGCTTATAGTTTTCAATATAAAAAATATCTAGTTTTGTAGCTGTAACTTGAGAAATATCTCATCTCTATACAAGCTCTCAGCCCCCTCCCAGGATATCAAGTGGCCGGTCCCTCAGAGCTGCCACTTTCATATCTGACAATGACAACACTTTTATTGCTAACTGTTGAAACTGTTCCTTGTCAAATCAATGTTTATTGTTGCATTTCGAGACCGACATTTGTGTATATCCACAAACTAGCAGATTGTACATGTAAATGAGGATTCCAAATATCTTAATAATTTCACGACCCGTGAAGATCCGGGGTAGAATAGGTCTTCAGCAACCCATGCTTGACGCAATAGGCTACTATGCTTGACGTAAGAGGCGACTAACGTTAACGGGATCGGGTGGTCAGGCTCGCTGACTTGGTTGATGTATGTCATCGTATCCCAATTGCGTGGATCGATGCTCATGATACATCACTGGATTGTCTGGTCCAAACTCGATTATTTACAGACCGCCGTCATATAGCTGGAATATTGCTGAGTGCGGCGTTAAACAACAAACAAGCAAATAATAATTTCACAAGAAACAAATTGTGACGTCATGATCCTGACGGAATGATTTGAATCATTGATCCCCTCATATGCCGAAGTCGGATGAGTCGATACGTTCTTGTGTGGTACGAAGCAGGGAAAATGGTCGGCTGGGTACACATGCACTCGCCTCGACAGTCTCCTTAATCCAGCTGATCCTGCTAAGTTACATCATTCGTGATACCCGAGTCCTGCCTAAACCAAAATACATATTTAATTATCTCGAAATCCGGTAACAGGAAGATTCGAAAGAACGACATTTCACCTTAATTACAATAGTGACGACACAATGTCTAAGAAAAACAAAGGCTTTGGAAAGTTAGTCAGGCATGATAACTGTCAATGCCATAGTTTTTCCCGTCGTGACTTGACCCGTGATGACGTTGTGTGTTATACCGTTAGAAGATTGGCTGCGGAGAGGATATGTGGGGAATATATATGTTCGACATCGCTGCAGAGACAGCACAGTGCCCAGAGTTCTATCGCGGAGTTGTAGGGTAACGGGACTATCCGGTGAGTGTCTGTAATAGTACCGTTATATTTCACTTCATGTTATATTTAGGATCTATGTCAGAGGAAGGAATTATGTATTGTATAGCGTTTGTGTGTCATGATGATGCTACATTTACTTCACTTACAGGACATCCGTCTAAGCGTTAAAGTGAAGTTATATTTACATGGTGGGGAATATTTCGTTTTATTCGTATATTTATTTAGACAAGCGACTACTGACGTCGTGATTATAGATATTATCATAAATCATATACTATATGATAATTTCGTTGTACAGTAAACTACGGTTATAACGAACTCAAAGGGACTACTATTTTTAGTTCGTTATAACCGTAGTTCGTTATAAGCATATATACAGCATAACTACAGCAAATAGTCGGGACTAAAAAGTAAGTTCGTTATATCCGTCAGTTCGCTATAAGCGTGTTCGTTATAACCGTAGTTTACTGTAGTTACTTTAGATGTGGTAATGATGCACCTGTTGTTATGGTAATATTAAATTACTATCACATGTCGGCGATAATACACTCACCAGCTGAGTATCGTCGTGTTGATTTCAAGTAGCATATACTGTTGATTGAAGTTTAAGATAAGAATACACATGCAAAATTGAAATTATTTCGATTATCTTTAATTCCGAATTACATATACGATGAGACAACCTTCCAAACAGCTACTGATGTAAATATAGACAGAAAGACAGACAGACAGACACATACAGATATAATGGTTGTTGGAATTGATAACGAGAACATATAACGTAGGTCGTTATAAAACATATATATCAAGGATTCCACATGGCACTGACCGTTATCCCTGGGTGTGTCCAGCCCGACGACAGGTGGTGTGTGGATTAACGTCGAATTCACTCTGACAGGTGGTATGTGGATTAACGTAGATTTCACTCTGACAGGTGGTGTGTTGATTGACGTAGATTTCACCCTGACAGGTGGTATGTTGATTAACGTCGAATTCACTCTGACAGGTGGTATGTGGATTAACGTAGATTTCACTCTGACAGGTGGTGTGTTGATTGACGTAGATTTCACCCTGACAGGTGGTATGTTGATTAACGTAGATTTTACTCTGACAGGTTGTATGTGGATTAACGTCGAATTCGCCCTGACAGGTGGTATGTTGATTAACGTAGATTTCACCCTGACAGGTGGTATGTGGATTAACGTCGATTTCACCCTGACAGGTGGTATGTTGATTAACGTAGATTTCACCCTGACAGGTGGTATGTGGATAAACGTCGATTTCACCCTGACAGGTGGTATGTTGATTAACGTAGAACTCACCCTGACAGGTGGTATGTTGATTAACGTAGATTTTACTCTGACAGGTTGTATGTGGATTAACGTCGAATTCGCCCTGACAGGTGGTATGTTGATTAACGTAGATTTCACCCTGACAGGTGGTATGTTGATTAACGTCGATTTCACCCTGACAGGTGGTATGTTGATTAACGTAGATTTCACCCTGACAGGTGGTATGTTGATTAACGTAGATTTTACTCTGACAGGTGGTGTGTGGATTAACGTAGATTTCACCCTGACAGGTTGTATGTGGATTAACGTAGATTTTTCTCTGACAGGTGGTATGTGGATTAACGTCGATTTCACCCTGACAGGTTGTATGTGGATTAACGTCGATTTCACCCTGACAGGTGGTATGTGGATTAACGTAGATTTCACTCTGACAGGTGGTTTGTGGATTAACGTAGATTTCACTCTGACGGGTGGTATATGGATTAACGTAGATTTCACTCTGACGGGTGGTATATGGACTAGCGTAGATTTAACTCGGACAGAAGGAATGTGGATTAACGTAGATTTAACTCTAACGGGTATTATGTGGATTACCGTAGATTTAACTCTGACAGGTGGTATATAGATTAAGGTAGATTTCACTCTGATAGGGGGTATGTTGATTAACGTCGAATTCACACTGACAGGTGGTATGTGGATTGACGTAGATTTCACTCTGACAGGAGGTATGTGGTTTAACGTAGATTTCACTCTGACATGTGGTATGTTGATTAACGTAGATTTCACTCTGACAGGTGGTGTGTGGATTAACGTAGATTTCACACTGACAGGTGGTATGTTGATTAACGTAGATTTTTCTCTGACAGGTGGTATGTGGATTAACGTCGATTTCACCCTGACAGGTTGTATATGGCTTAACGTCGATTTCACTCTGACAGGTGGTTTGTGGATTAACGTAGATTTCACTCTGACAGGTGGTGTGTTGATTAACGTAGATTTCACCCTGACAGGTGGTATGTGGATTAACGTAGATTTAACTCGGACAGAAGGAATGTGGATTAACGTAGATTTCCCTCTGATAGGAGGTATGTTGATTAACGTCGAATACACTCTGACAGGTGGTATGTGGATTTACGTAGATTTCACTCTGACAGGTGGTATGTGGTTTAACGTAGATTTCAATCTGACTGGTGGTATGTGGTTTACCGTAGATTTCACTCTGACAGGTGGTATGTGGTTTAACGTAGATTTCACTCTGACATGTGGTATGTTGATTAACGTAGATTTCACTCTGACAGGTGATATGTGGATTAACGTAGATTTAACTCGGACAGAAGGAATGTGGATTAACGTAGATTTAACTCGGACAGAAGGAATGTGGATTAACGTAGATTTCACTCTGATAGGAGGTATGTTGATTAACGTCGAATACACTCTGACAGGTGGTATGTGGATTTACGTAGATTTCACTCTGACAGGTGGTCTGTGGATTAACGTCGATTACACTCTGACAGGAGGTATGTGGTTTAACGTAGATTTCACTCTGACATGTGGTATGTTGATTTACGTAGATTTCACTCTGACAGGTGGTATATGGATTAACGTAGATTTCACTCTGACAGAAGGAATGTGGATTAACGTAGATTTCACTCTGACAGGTGGTATATGGATTAACGTAGATTTCACTCTGACAGAAGGAATGTGGATTTACGTAGATTTCCCTCTGACAGGTGGTCTGTGGATTAACGTAGATTTCCCTCTGACAGGTGGTTTGTGGATTAACGTAGATTTCACTCTGACATGTGGTATGTTGATTTACGTAGATTTCACTCTGACGGGTGGTATATGGACTAACGTAGATTTCACTCTGACAGAAGGAATGTGGATTAACGTAGATTTAACTCTAACGGGTGGTATGTGGATTAACGTAGATTTAACTCTGACAGGTGGTATATAGATTAACGTAGATTTCACTCTGATAGGGGGTATGTTGATTAACGTCGAATTCACACTGACAGGTGGTCTGTGGATTAACGTCGATTTCACTCTGACAGGAGGTATGTGGTTTAACGTAGATTTCACTCTGACATGTGGTATGTTGATTTACGTAGATTTCACTCTGACAGGTGGTATATGGATTAACGTAGATTTCACTCTGATAGGAGGTATGTTGATTAACGTCGAATTCACACTGACAGGTGGTCTGTGGATTAACGTAGATTTCACTCTGACAGAAGGAATGTTGATTAACGTAGATTTAACTCTGACGGGTGGTCTGTGGATTAACGTAGATTTATCTCGGACAGAAGGAATGTGGATTAACGTACATTTCACTCTGACAGGTGGTATGTTGATTAACGTAGATTTCACTCTGACAGGTAGTATGTAGATTAACGTAGATTTAACTCGGACAGGTGGTTCGTGGATTAACGTAGATTTCACTCGAACAGGTGGTATGTGGATAAAGGTCGAATTCACTCTGACAGGTGATGTGTGGATTAAGGTAGATTTCACTCAAACCGGTGGTATGTTGATTAACCTAGATACCTAGGTGGTATGTGGGTTAACGCAGTCTCATTGTTCAAGGTGTGAGTATCGACAACTTAAAATCCACTTGTTAAATGGCAATGAATACGATGATGCCTTAAATATTCCAATTCCAGGGATACACATGTACCTACAATGCGGAACCCATACTGTGTACGTGAATAAATGGCACAAAATGTACATTCATATGCATCCAAACAGCAGCCACAAGCACCTCATCACACAATGGGGAAACAGTAGCCTCACACACCTCATCACACAAATGTGAAACAGTAGCCACACACACCTCATCACACAAATGTGAAACAGTAGCCACACACACTTCATCACACAAATGTGAAACAGTAGCCACACACAACTCATCACACAAATGTGAAACAGTAGCCACATCCCTCATCACACAAATGTGAAACAGTAGCCACACACACCTCATCACACAAATGTGAAACAGTAACCACATCCCTCATCACACAAATGTGAAACAGTAGCCACACACAGCTCATCACACAAATGTGAAACAGTAGCCACACACACCTCATCACACAAATGTGAAACAGTAGCCACACACACCTCATCACACAAATGTGAAACAGTAGCCACACACACCTCATCACACAAATGTGAAACAGTAGCCACACACACCTCATAACACAAAGGGGAAACGGTAGCCACATCCCTCATCACACAAATGTGAAACAGTAGCCACACACACCTCATCACACAAATGTGAAACAGCATCACACACCTAATCACACAAATGTGAAACAGTAGCCACACACCTCATCACACAAATGTGAAACAGTAGCCACACACACCTCATCACACAAATGTGAAACAGTAGCCACACACATCCATCACACAAATGTGAAACTGTAGCCTCACACACCTCATCACACAAATGTGAAACAGTAGCCACACACACCTCATCACAAAAAGGGGAAACAGTAGCCACACACCTCATCACACAAATGTGAAACAGTAGCCACACACACCTCATCACACAAATGTGAAACAGTAGCCACACACACCTCATCACACAAAGGTGAAACAGTAGCCACACACACCTCATCACACAAATGTGAAACAGTAGCCACACACAGCTCATCACACAAATGTGAAACAGTAGCCACATCCCTCATCACACAAATGTGAAACAGTAGCCTCACACACCTCATCACACAA